CAGAGGCAGGCAGATCTCTGTGAGTTTGAGACCAGCCTGGTCTACAAGAGCTAGTTCCAGGACAGGCTCCAAAACCACAGAGAAACCCTGTCTCGAAAAACCAAAAATAAAATAAAATAAAATAAAAGCAATGTTCACACAGAGAGGCTTTGACAATGGCTGGTTTTTTTCTGCTGTGACTGAGTCAGGAAAATCTCTGTTAGAGGAGCTGCAGGATGCTACCAACAAACAGCAAGAAGCTATGTTAAACTGTAATTTTTTATTTTTGTCTAGAGTTCCATTTCAAGCCCTCTCAGGTTTTACTTGGAGTTAGTTGACCATGTTGGAGCACCAGTTGATGGAGGAGGAACCGCTTGTTTGTCCTGGCTGCCCAGCTAGCTTAGAAATAACCACACAGAAATTGTGTTAATTAAATCACTGCTTGGCTCATTAGATTTGGCCTCTTATTGGCTAACTGTCACATCTTGATTTAACCCATATCTATTAATCTGTGTATTGCCACATGGCAGTGGCTTACCAGCAAGATTCTAACCAGCGTCCATCCCAGGCGGAGAATCCATGGCGTCTCTTGACTCTTTCCTTCTCCCAGCACTCAGTTCTGTCTTCCCCACCTAATTCTGCCCTATCAAGGGCCCAAAGCAGTTTCTTTATTAACCAATAAAAGCAACACAAAGACAGAAGGACCTCCTACACCAAAGGGCCTAAAGGAGCCTTAGAGATAGACATGCTAAAATAAATTTATTATACATGATCAAAATGATAATAATGTTCCCTGGGAATATCCAAAGAACACATCATTGCCATGTGGGGGCAGGGTTAGTAACAGGAACACTAGAATTATGAAATGATCCAGTGTTGACCCTATACATCAGGGTTGAGGATAGGATAGGATGATGCTATGGGATCGATCTCACAAAATCAATGGTGATAGTTTGATTCTGGACACATAAAGACCAAAGAACAAAAAAGCATATTCATCTTGGGGTGGAGTGTGAGATCACAACTATCATTAGGCTGCCAAGGTCAGACTGAGAGTTAAAACTGGGCTAATAAAAGGATTTCAGAGTCCTTAGGAATAAAATAAAAGGGGTACCAAGAAAAATAATTACTTCATTGCTGTTCAACAGTCAAAAAATAAAAGACAGACTGAGAAATAGAAAGCAGATGCTTCTCTAAAAGGTTAATTGATATATGTCTCCATTTTTGGACCTGAACTTGCTTGAGATATGGAACCCACTGAATGAAAAAGTGATTACAGACCTAGGAAAAAGTATTCTGCATCACTATGACAAATATAGGCCCTTCACTAGAGGTAACTGCAGCTACTTACTCTAACTACGCAGGGGAAAGGGTTATCTATGTAATATTTCTATTACTTTAGGACACAGAAATAAGTTGATATTTCTGAACAAGAACTCAAACTGCTACGATGGCCTTTTGATTAGAATAAAAAGTAAATAAGGGATAGGTGACAAAATCTGGGCTAATGTGTGTGGGTCACAGATCTCAAGCACCTAAAGTTCTGATGATTCTGCCACCATTTGCCACAACACGGATTGTCTAGATATCTCATACATCTTTTCTCTTGTATATATTAATATAATGAAATTATATTAATAAAGACAGAAATAGAAGAGATTGTGATTACATTGGAAGCCTTGCTAAAACATATGAACTCAGAAGTTGGGTGATGCTGATGGTATCTGTAGTAGAAAAAGATGCTAAACAGTTTGTGGCTAGAATCACAGTGTATATCTCTGGGGCTCTAGAAGAGGCATGTCTTCTGATAGAAAATTAAAAGGTGGGATATTAAGCATCATTAAAAACAACTCTTAGCATAGGAATCTGCTACCTGATTATATAGATATCAAGTGACTTACATTGTCACAGAAAGTACCTAACTATAAAAATCGAAGTGGTCATGTAGCCAGATTTTTCAACCATGAGCTAAATTTTCTCATTTCCACAAAGTCTTAATATTTGAGTCTGCAATAATTAATAAAAAGTGTCAAATACAAGCCCAGTTTTAACCAGGATCAGTGGATAAAACGAGGTATTCAAGAAGGTAATCCAAGTTCTATGGCACTGGCCTTTCTCGTTCAGTTACTATTTCTTGCTGTGGGAATAATCCTATGTAAGTAGCTGAACGAGAACTTTTAAAGTTCAATCTGGGTTTAAGTATAAAGGTCAGTATGTTATGGGTATACACACCAGAAATGCCCAGAAGCTTAGCCACGTTTCCTTAAGTAGAGCTGGATAGACAGAAATGAAAGAAAATATTCATATTGGGCTGAGCTTCAAACCATACACATGGACATCCATTTTGCAGAGAAAGCAACGTGTACAAGCTCCTGGGAAATGGTACAATATCTGGCTAGTTGTAGAGGGATCTACCAGAATAATAACTAGAAGGAGGAAAAATAGGATGGAGATGCAGATATGTGGTGCTGGTAGTTTTACTTTTTAGGAAAATAACACTGAATACGAGACATGCCCCTTTCTTCCTACCAGACTTATCAGGTCACACCACAAACAGCCTTGATGCCAGATCCAAGTGGGTAGCATCCTCCCATTCAAGATCCATGTTGCTAGGGCTTTCAGTGAATGTTCTTCCTAGCCCCTAAAGTATCAGCACTAAGAGGCCAATCTACCAGCTCTGAAACACTTCTATCCTTGATTCCTTAATAACCAGCACGACCCAAATAGCACCCTGTCCTTCACACTCAAGGTCCTAAACTGAGACTTGTGAGGAAATAATCTAGTTTTCCACAGCCCAACTGTGATCTTTTTCTGAAGGGGTAGCTCGTCCTCTGGGAAATCGTACCATTATGTACTGCGAAGTTATTTAGCTTCTAGCCCTCTAATACCTTTTCAGCTTCCTCCTATAGTGATTTTTTTTCCTGGTGCAATTTCTCTTTTAAGGATGGAATTTCATGGATACAAGACATGGCTTCAGCAGTGATTCCAATAGAAATCTAATGCAAGTTGTTTTTGGCACGTTGATAGCCTTTAAACACAGAATCCCATCAGGTCTCAGAGAAGACCAAGAGCTTAGAGTGCTGGCCTTATGTCTCTCCTTGTCTTAGTCTCAGAAGAAAGCTCAGTGAAAATCAAAATATGAGAATTGTACTGTATGCTCCATACTAACTTCAGAAATATGAATAAAATTGTGTAAAAGGGAATATATAAATATTTGCTTCAAAATTCTAAATAAAACAAGATAAATGAATAAACAAAACATATAATTAAGTTCCATCAAAGTACTAATGATATTTACATAGAAATATAAACACTCAAAGCCCCAGAGACCCCAAACAGCTTTCACACACCCAATACCATACCCCACCACATCTGTGATCACTGGACCCTTGACCCAGAATGCCCCTGAAGAGGAGCCTTATCAGTATTCGCTAGAGGTATGGACCCACCTTCACCTGGAAGAAGAGTGACCACCTAAGCCACAGGCCCCACCTGCACTCACTGGAGAAAAAGATGGGCAGATGGCAGTTTAAGAACACATCCAATAACATAAAGACCAATATGGTAACACCAGAACTAGTGGTCCTACAACATGAAGACCTGAACATCCTAACAGAGAAGGAGAAATAGAAAATGACCTTCGGGTTGGAGAGATGACTCAGAGGTTAAGAGCATTGGCTGATCTTCAGGAGGTCCTGAGTTCAATTCCCAGCAACCACATGGTGGCTCACAACCATCTGTAACGAGATCTGGTGCCCTTTTCCAACCTGCAGGCATACAAGGAAGTGTACATAATAAATAAATAAATCTTAAAAAAAGAAAATGACCTTCAATATAACTTTATGAAGATGATACAGACCATTAAAGAGAAAATGAAAAATTTCTTTAAAGAAACAGAGGAAAAGACAAAAAAATTAGAAGAAATTAATAAATCTTTTGAAGAAACCCAAGGGGGGAAAAAACAAACAAGCGAAGCAAACAGCTCAAACAGTTCAAGATTTGAAAACTGAAAGAGAGGCAATAAAGAAAGCACAAACCAAGGGAATTCTGGAAAAGGAAAATGTGTATAAACAAACAGGAACTACAGATGCAAGTATAACCAACAGATTATAAGAGATTAAAGAGAGATCTCAGGAGTTAAAGATATTATAGAGGAATTAGATTCGGGGTCAAAGAAAACATTAAATCCTTGACAAAAAAAAAAAACCAGGAAGTCTGGGACACCATGAAAAGACCAAATTAAAAAATTATAGGGATAAGAAGTCCAACTCAAAGGCACAGAAAATATATTCAACAAAATAATAGAAGAAAACTTTCCCAATATAAAGAATAATATGCCAATGAAGGTACAAGAAGCTTACAGAACACCAAGTAGACTGGAACAAAAAAAGTCCCCTCGCTATATAATAATCAACACACTAAACACACAGAATAAAGAAAATTTAGATACATATGAAAAAGGCCAACTTACATATAAAGCCAGACCTATCAGAATTACAACTGATTTCTCAATTTAAACTCTAAAAGTCTGAAGGTCCTGGTCAGATATGCTACAGAAACTAAAAGATCATGGCTGAAAGTCCAGATTCTATACCCAGCAAATTTTTTAATCACCATAGATGGAGGAAACAAGATATTCCATGACAAAGCCAAATTTACATATTATCTATCCACAATACCAACATTACAGAAAGTACTAGAAGGAAAACTCCAACCCAAGGAAGTTAGCTGGACAGATAAGATACAAGCTTTAGAAAGACATAAGTGTTTTGCTATAAATATGTCCTAATTTCTCCAAGTGGCTCCCCCTTTGTTCTCAGCCCTGGGCCTTTGCCATAGGCTCTCCAGATCACTGAGCACACAATGCTTGGCTGAGCACAGCATTGTTATGTAACAGCATCTCTGGCTTTACTCATCAGAGCTTGTCAGCCTCTTGCCTCACTCTCCTCTCCTCATGACATGGTGTAAACTTTGGGATCTTAGTCTTGTCTGCCCCCAGTGGACTACATTTGCTTTTGTCCATGGCCCCCTTCCGGGCATCTATCTGGACTTGGGTCCTCCTGGGAGGTTCTCTCTGGCTATCTGTGCTCTGGGTACTGTTGTGCCCTGTCTGTTCCCATAGCCCGCCAAAATGGCGCTTCACTACCTCTGAAGTTGTGATTCCCAGGAAGGTCCCCCAGAGGATGGGTAGAATTGATATGCCAGCCGAGATCACCTACAGCATGCGCTTCAGGGGACAAAGACACGTGGTCCACATGAAGCTCAAGAAGAACATGATTCCTGAAAATTTTCCTGTATACACTACTAACGACCAAGGAGCCGAGCAGGAGGACTACCCATTTGTTCCTCGAGACTGTTACTTCTACAGCTACCTGGAAGGGGTCCCTGGGTCCCAGGCCACACTAGACACCTGCAATGGAGGTCTCAATGGCATGCTACAGGTGGATGACTTCACTTATGAAATCAAACCACTGGCATCTTCTTCCAAATTTGAGCATGTAATTTCTCTGCTTGTGGTGGAAGAAAGATCACTTGAGTCTAAAAGGTGTAGAAACGAAGAGCAGGTGGCAGAGGCAGATAAGTCCCTTGAAGAGACAAAGCTTGTTGGGAGTCCCAGAGCAGCTCCAGTCTACTTGTGGCGCGTGCATGTGAAAGTACTCCGAGTCCACTACACGATGACTTCTAGATTAGCTATGGCAATCAACAACTTTACCCGTTCGCTTGACTTTATATTGGTTATGAACAGCCTATCAGACACCATTTACAAGCTAAGTGGCCTAGCTGTCTTTGTACGTGCTATATGTCTTTGGGACACAGACCCAATAAATATAACCAATTCTGCAAACAATGCTGATAGCCTTTTGGACTCATTTGGTAATTATAAATCAAAATTTCATCATGAGTTACAGGCCTCCACTTCAGTCATTTTAACAGGATTTAGAATTCAACAACATGAATACATGGGTCAGAGTAACACTCTGTGCCAGCACAACCGGGCAGTGTCATATGTAAATGCTGAAAGGCGCCACGTGTTTATGACAGCCGTGGTTATGTCTCACTCAAACGGTCACGTTATTGGTTTACAGCATGATGCTCCAGGCTGTTATTGTTTCAGAAGAAGCAACTGTCTCATGCGTGAATATCCCCTTCTCACGGATATGTTAAGTAATTGCTCCCAAGCTGTAGTACATAAGAGGATCCATGAATGGGATGAATGCCTGAGTGAAAATCGTGTTCAATATGACAATTTTAAATATGCAGCTCCTCGCTGTGGAGATAAGAAGGTGGATGAGGATGAGGAATGTGACTGCGGCTCCTTGAAAGAGTGTGCCTTCAACAGGTGCTGTACAACCACTTGCGTCTTTACTCAGGGCACTACTTGTAATATAGGAGGTTGCTGTAAAGAGTGTGCATTTGCACCATTTGGAACTTTGTGCAGAGACAAACTTGGCATTTGTGACCTTCCGGAATACTGTAATGGAATCTCCCAGAATTGCCCGGAAAATTTTTACATCCAGGACGGAACTCCCTGCTCACCACTAGCAGTTTGCATGTCAGGAAATTGCAGTGATCGTAATTTGCAGTGCCAAGCTCTTTTTGGATATGAAGTTAAGGATGCTAACCCAATATGCTATAAATTAAATACCATAGGTGACCGATTTGGAAACTGTGGAGTGAAGAAACAGCGAGGGGGAAGCCAACCTCTCCCATGTCAAGATGACGGTATTTTTTGTGGACTGCTACATTGTGATGGTGTCAGTCTTGTTCCTGGTGGTGGTGAGCACACTACATTTCATCACATAAAGGTACAAGACATCAAGGAAGAGCAGTGCTTTGGGTATGATGCACACCATGGGACAGAAGTTCCAGAAATGGGGCTTGTAGTGGACGGTGCAACCTGTGGCCCTGGGAAATACTGTAAAAACAAAGCCTGTGTTTTTCATCAAACCTTGAATTTTAAATGCAACATCAGCAACTGTAATTTCAGAGGGGTATGTAACAACAGAGGCAATTGTCACTGTATGCAAGGTTGGCAGCCACCACACTGTGAACAAAGAGGAGCAGGTGGCAGTCCAGACAGTGGCCCTACAATTTCCTCTAAGAAAAGATTTCGAGCCAAAATACGTGTGAGTGTGAACAGGATATTACTTGTCTTATTTACTCGTATGGCTCTTATCTTGGTGTCACTTCTTTTGGGTGGAATTTCAAGAGCAATAAAAACTTAGACACCAGAGGGAAACAATCTCCTATAAAAAAAATTGATTTCATTCCATACGAAATGGAGCCACACAATGAACAAAATCATGTCGATCGCTACAAGAAATTATCAATGATTTCCTCAGCCAGCAGTGTAACGTTTCCCAAGTCTGAGATTTTCATCATGAAATAAAATCACTGAGGAGTTAAAATTCTGCCTCTATGTTTAAATTTGTGCTTTATAATTGTTTCTTAAAATCTCACTTTCTCTCTCCTCTCCTCTCCCTCCCTCCATCCTCATTTCTCCACACCCCCCCCATTTGTAAATGTGGGTGCAGATGCTTGTGGAGGCCAGAGGCACAGTTCTTGGAACCAGAGTTGCAGGTGGCTATGGGTAACCCATCGTGGATGCTGAGAACCAAACTCTGGGTCTCTGCAAGAGTAGTAAACATTCTTAACTGTTGAGTCTTAACATCACATAATTTACCATGTCTGAGGTTTTGTTTGGATTTTAATTGTTTTTGTCTTGTTTTGTGGTGCTGAGCAGCACAGTCCCCAAGCCTTACCTAAGCCAGGTAAATGCCCCGCCACTCTACTGTGCCCCAACATTTGGTCACATTCTTTATACTCCTATATGTAAATCCATCTTTTATGGTGTTCATGTTAAAAGTTTTCTAGATGCCTGTGTCAAATATGGACTGCATTAGTGTGTGCTACTGTGAGTATTGCCCTGGTCTGTTTGCAACTCTGGTAGATTATTCTCTGTTTTGTTGTTAATGGAAAATTAGTCTCAAGAGGGACATTTGTGAATTAAATGGACACATGAATGAAAGAAACATTCACATTTTTAGACATCAGAATTTCAGTAGCGGTGTTGAACTTTGCTATGTGACAATGGGAAAATTCTTTGTTTTGTCAAATACCCAGGGATTACACCCAGCATCTAAGATGAGTGACACTCCCTCAAAAGTGTCAAAGTTGATGCAGTACCTTCAATAATGCTGGAGTCGTTTATGTGCTGAATACACACACTAGCTCCTACCATTGTCTTTAGGTTGTACAACGCCAAGAGCTATAGTTGCAGGGGAGTGTGTAACAAGAACGAGTCCTGTCGTTGTAGGTGTGGTTGGAAACCACCAACAGAGAGGATGGGGTAGTAGTGAAGATGGGGGGCTTCCACCTTATAGGCAAAAGTTTGAGAACCAGGATATCCATGCGTGTAAATCAGGCACTTATTCTGACACTTACTCACTTTGTTGTTTTTAATGTTTCAGTGCTTCTCTGCTGACCTTTCTAAAGGAAAAGGGGGCCTTGTGGGAGAGGGGAAGACATCCAAGTGCTGGGATTAAAGGTGTGTGCCACCACACCTTGAACTCACAGAGGTCCGTCTACCTTGTTCCCCACGTGTTGGGATTAAAGGTGTGTACCACCAAACCCAACTACTCTCTCTCTCTCTCTCTCTCTCTCTCTCTCTCTCTCTCTCTCTCTCT